CTGAAGCTCTCATCATCAACATGATTTTTCCCCCTAAAATGGGGGGAAACATGCACTCCAAGCAAGTGTATTCAGGCCCTATACTATCATAGTCTATAGTCAGCCTAACTGAAATGGAAGTTGCATGTCTTGGACTAAAAATATAACAAAACCCAACAGCCCGGGCTTGATTTGACTAAGTGCTGACAAAGCAAAATGACTGATGTGTTAATGCTCCCCCAGTCCCCACTTTCTTTAAGAATTGCCTAAAATAAGACCATTAGCCTAGCACTCAGGTTTTATCTAAGCTACGGAGAGCCTATTAACACAGAACACTATTGTGACAGCCTCTGCAATCACTTTACTTCCTCCACTGGAAATAGAGAGGTGCATGTTTCTGATTATATGACAGTCCATGCACCATGTGGTATATAGCCAAGCTCCCAAACTCCCCCTCATCCAACTCAGCAGCATAGGCATTCCTTGTAGACACCAAAGCTGAGGTTTTTTGGGGGCCGAGTTGATTCAAGCAAACCAACTGACAATTAACAGAGGGCCTAATCCAGGAGTCAGCTAAGCATGTAACTGTGTTCTCATATGAGCATTGCCATGAGTTCCAGTAAAACCATTTGTAAGCAAAACTAAGCACGTATTTAGGAGTTAGCAGGAAAGAGGACTCGATGCAGGAAAAAATGAATGAACCTAAGTGATGACTAATCCTCTGTTTAGTCTCTGTATTTTACTACTTAATGTGACCATATTACAGTCCTCAGTGGAAAAAGGGGCATTCATTAGGTAGAATTGATAAAACTGAGATCCTGATGCCTGAACTTAGCTAGTCAAAAATACTCACATTTTAAAATTCTAAACCACGTTGCACTTACTGTCAGCAAACAAGACACCCAGAAACAAAGGAATTCAAATGACAAAACCTAAAGTAACGAGTGTGTTGCAATAAGCCTTTGTGTTCTACTCTTTACCATTTCTGAGATTATTTAGGTGTCAGATGATGAGCATAAAAATAGAGAGGGGGAAATAATGCACTTTTTTTTAGCTGTAGATAAGTTATTTTTCTTTAAAACGTAACACTTAAAGTAACCACAGTGACCCAGTTTTGGCTCTCTTTGTACCTGAGTAATGAATGGCCATAGTGTTAAGTTCCCATAGTTTTCTTGCCTCAAGCTCTTGTCAGTCATTACCTGATAAATAAAAAGTTCAAACAGGTTTCTTTTTGCTTAATTGGGCAAACTTTCTCTCCAAGAGCAATAGCTAATATACAGAGACTAATGTGTCCATGGCAACAATGGAAGTTGTCAATAGAAAAAGTTGGACGAGCAATGGTTGCAAATCGCTGACTCAAAGGCAGAGTATTTCTGGCTTTCTTCCTTCAAAAAGTGTCTCTTCCAATTGCAGGCAAAGCTGAAAAGACTGAAACAGAGAACTCTGGATGAAATTCTGAAATCTTTGGCAGCAGTGAGGACGTTTCCTGAGTTAGGGTTGTAGCATCTTACCGCCTTAATCACAGTGACTGACCATTATGGAACAGAACTAATGAATTGTCATGAAGCAAAAATAACACCCTGTAAGCTCAGTGAGAAACTAATTTACAATAATCGACCAATATAAATGTTCTAAATGTGATTTATAATGTTGTTAGTCGGGTAAATCGAACCATTCTGAAGCCTGTGCTCATTGGGGTTTCATATTTGTGTCAAGAATTCCCTTTCCAAACCAGTAGGTTCCAAGACACAGATTCTGTAGCACTGGGGACTGATGGGAGAAGTGGGTTTTTAGCTTCCTGACAAGGGTGGCGGTTGCTGCTGAGCGTAGCCAGTAAGTCTGGTTCTCAAACTGTGGGTTGGGACCCCAAAGTAGGTTGCAAGCCTGTTTTAATGGGGTTGCCAATGCTGGTGTTAGACTTGCTGGGACCTGGAGCTGAAGCCTAAGCGCCAAAGGCTTCAGGCCTGGATGGCAGGGTTCAGATTACAGGCCCCTCACCTGGGGCTGAAGCCCGTGGGCTTTGGTCCCCTGGCATGGGGCAGTGGGGCTTGGGCTTTGGGCCCCTCTGCCCTGGGAGGTGGGGCTCGGATAGGCTTTAGTTCTCCTATGTGAGCCCAGGAAGAGGGTGTACACAGTTATTCCAAAATACCATAGTGCACGTCTGCACTGCCACCCTTTATTTTGAAATAATGTCAAGCTGAAGGACTTCTTACTCTGACTCCTGTAACCCTCATTTTATGAGGAGTAAGGGAAGCTGAAGAAAGAGTGCTCCTCTTTTGACTTCCTGCTGTGTAGACAGCGCCAAAAGCCAAATTAAGCTATTTCAATTTAAGCTACACAATTGACGTAGCCTAATTTGACTCTAGCCCCACTGTGTAGATGTGCCCATAGTCATTTTTGTTATCAGAAGGGGGTTGCAGTGCAGTGAACTTTGAGAAACCCTGCAATAAGGCATGTGTGTATGGCAATGCTGAAGGAAAGTGGCATTTCAACATATAGGCTGCATCCTCCTCTCAATGAAGCTATGCGAAAACTTCTAGTAGGGTCAGTCTCCTCTCACTGGATTTACTCATTTTAAATGAGGGAATCAGGCCCATATTTTGAACTAATGAAAGAAAATGAAGAACCTTTCTAAATACATCCTAGGTACTTAAACCCTGATCCAAAGCCCACTGAATTCAAAAGGAATCTTTTCACTGACTCTTCACTGGGTGTTGGATCTGGCCATTAAGGATTGAGACGTTCCACTTTTTGTGTCTTTATCCATGCGAGACTCTTTGGAAGATGGTAGATTATTTCAAGATCTTAGTGATTTCATCAGACAGGCCAGCAAATAGATTTACATAAGATGGCATAATCCTGTACATAGTTCAAAGTAAACAACCCAGAAACGTTGTTGTGCCCTTAAGGTATAATGATTATTTAATGTGGACCTTGATTTTTTTTTCAGTTACCTCTATTGCAATGCAACATGGTATCAACAGTAGGAAACATCATGCCAGCAGCATCTCTGAAATATGCTAAAACAATCTCAATTAGAAAATGTCAGTTTCTTGGCTCATGGGTTTTTTTCCCTTTCTTGTGCCTCTATAATTTTATTGGGATGACTAAACTCTGAACTATGTTAGCAGTAAACAGAACTAATTTACCCCCTGCTTCTTTGAAACAGCTGCTGACAGCTGCACTATAATTCAATCATGGACTTTTGCAATGCAGCCTGCAAAATATATTCATATTTTTCATTCTTCCCTCTGCTGTATTTATACGTGGGCAGCTGCAGCAGATATTGACCATGTGCCCATAAGGCCAATATACAGAGACTGATCGACATGGAAGCATTGTTGCAGAATAGCAGACACGCACCATGAAATATTATTCACAACAAAACATCCTTTAGATTCTGTGGGAATAAGACATACACAAAGACATACACAAAGTTAGTAGAATATCTTTTGAAAAATCACAACGATTTATTCAACTAGTTTGTACAAAATGCTTCTAATTGCTCTATGAAAAGAACCAGAAATAAATATTTTCTTAAATAAGGAAACAAATGTGTTTAGAAGAGATGAGAATCATTTTCCTGAATGCGTGATTGAAAAGGAATTCAGGGATGGAAATAAATAATTTTTCCCACTTTTGTGACAATTATTTACATAAAAATGTACAAAACAACTGAGGCGATGTTTTAGCCTAGCAACAGATTACATAGTTGTGTTTTAAAAAAACAACAACCACAGGATATGTAATATATGGATCCGGTACAGAGAGAGCGTGAACTGCAATAGGCCAGTACTCTTAGGCATTAGTGGCAAAAACTAATCCTTGATTACACTAAAAAATAATCAGCTCTGACCATCCATCGTTAACTTCATAGGTAGCACCTTAACTCCTTATACAAGGTTCACAGACGCCAAGAATATGTTTCATTGGTGGCTTATACACCTACAACATTGAATGGCATTTATGATTTACATGACTTTGAGTCTTTAAAACTATGGATTCACTGCAGCAGTGGCAGCCCAACCATTTGTCTTTAACTCCTCGTCTTAGGCCCTTTCAGAAATGGCTGAAAGAGAATTTCAGCCATTCTTTTGGAACTTGACCTAGTAAATATTGGGCCGGATTCTGATTTCAGTTAAATCTGTTGGAACCATATTAACTTAGATAGTGTGACTCTTGTGTAAACCATAGGATCCCTCCTATTCCTCAGCAGTCTAATCTTGCTGCCATTGGAAGTCAGTGGTAAAGCCATACCTACTAAAATGGAATGAAGACTCAGGCCACAAGATACAAGCTCCAACTCATTTCATGTAGAGCTTTCAAAAGAAACCCAAACATCTTGTCTGGATTTTAACTGTGGCTTAAAAGTAAAAGAGCAGTTACTTATTCATGGAGCCATGCAGTTCTCTTACTATTGATGAAACTGACAGTAAGATAGGAGTAGCCCAGGAAATACACATCCAGGGGACCAGGATTACAAAGTAATGGTTTCTTTTCCATATTAAAGACCTGATCCTGCACAATGCTGGCTGTTTGTTCAATATCATCTGTGAGTTTTCAACACCCTAGAGACTTGCAAAATGCCAGGGATCAGATCTGTCACCCACTGATTTTAATGGATATTACTCCTATGGGAGCAGGATGTTGAGCTTACCTTTCCTAACCCTGTAAGTATTTGAATGTCCAAGATGAGAGCTGGGTTGCAAAATTGTTGGAGCTTTGTTCACTATTACTCTTGGCTGTTTTAGTCCATAGTAAATGCAAATTCTTGTTGGTAGTTGAAATAGATATTTTGTATGTTGGGGATAATATGTCAAGATAATTTTGTTCTTTGGAGTTATTTTCTTCCATGCTTTTAATTCCAAAAGAGATTTCTAGACTTATTTGTCCATATTAGAGTCAATCCAGATATTTTTGCTAGTGCAAAATTAAATACTGGAAGTTCACATACATAGTCTTTTCCCCCTGATTATGAAGTTGGATAAGTCAAGGGTTGGAGGTAATTCTTTTACAAAATATCTTTTAGGCACATTTTATTGTGAACAAGTTATTACAGTAACTACAAAGGTTTATTACTTTTTTTGCATAAACACACCAGATTCTCACCATGGATGGATTTGTTTAAAAACGATGTTCACAATCAACTATGGTGAGTTAGCCATCTTCTGAAAGGCTCATTTGCAGATGTAGGAGCAATTATTTTGGACAGGTTTGATTTCAAATGGTTCCTCTGGCTTGTTTCACTTAGCACCAGTTTGCAGAATCATGTCTATAATAAACTAAAACAAACTTTATTCAAATGCCATGTGGAATCCAGATTTTTTCCTCTATCTCCAGTTGATTCTGCACCTTCAGAAGCATGGTCTCTACAACTTACTTTTTTTTTTAAGGCAGTCCACTGCAGGAAAACTTAAATCTTTGTAAATCCATATAAAAACACTTTCCAACCACTTTTTTTCCTTCCTGCAAACCTAATGGCAGCCACATGCCCGTACCACCATGTTCCTGTATTTTTTTAAGATAACATTGGAGCTGTCATCAAAATAGAGCACTGAGATGGCATTGAGTTGTGTAGGAGCGCAGCATGGCTTTGGCACAGTCTCTGGGTTTATAAAGTGAACCTGGGAGAGGGGAAAAAGAAGAATGTTAAGATATTTTTCCCCCCTTTCGGGGGGTAAACTTTGCAACTTGCATGAAAGTCTCTGGGATATTGATTGGGTACACAAATAACTCAATGTATGCACACACAAGGTAAGATTTACAGGTACAGGGGGCATGCCTAAAGCAGGAAAATTGGTCCTGAGGGTTTTTTGCCATGTAAGGGTACTGCTAATGAAATCTATTCATCTGACAGGCCTAGATATTAAAGTCCTTTCTATGTCCACTGAATAGTTGGGCACTGGATACAGGAAGGACTCAAGTGCCTGTTTCTTCTGTATTGTTGTAACCCTGTGCTGGAGAGAATAAACATTAGTAGTAAGGAAGTGGAGGCAGAAGAGCCTGTCACAAAAACACTTGGGAAAACTGATTAGCTTTAAAATAGCTCTGGTCCATAACTTGAATTGAGCTCGGGTTTTTTCCCCCAGGACCGTGGAGATCAGTTTCAACTGAAACTGGATCGAGGGAGGATAGGGAAGTGATGGAGACATTTTTTATTTTTCTGAATATTCTTCTCCCCCCTTAAAAATAGGCAACTTCAACATTATTAAAAAATTGAAAAATAGCTTTTGTTTCAACTGCATTTCCAGCTAGTTAGCAAGGTAGCTACTAGACTGCAGGGCTGTGTCTAGACTGGCAAGTTTTTCCGCAAAAGCAGCTGCTTTTGCAGAAAAACTTGCCAGCTGTTTACACTGGCCGCGTGAATTTCCGCAAGAACACTGACGATCTCATGTAAGAAATCAGTGCTTCTTATGTAAGAAATACTATGCTGCTCCCGTTCGGGCAAAAGTCCTTTTGCGCAAAAGCTTTTGCGCAAAAGGGCCAGTGTAGACAGCTCAGATTTGTTTTGCGCAAAAAAGCCCCGATCGCGAAAATGGCAATCAGGGCTTTCTTGCGCAAAACCGCGTCTAGATTGGCACGGACGCTTTTCTGCAAAAAGTGCTTTTGCGGAAAAGCATCCTTGCCAATCTAGACACTCTTTTCCACAAATGCTTTTCACGGAAAACTTTTCCGTTAAAAGCATTTGTGGAAAATCATGCCAGTCTAGACGTAGCCCAGGAGTAAAAGGCAGGGTGGTGAAGGTCTCAAGTGTTGCAAACAGGTGGCAGCTATCTAGGCTTGCAGATGCTTGATGACACTTTCTAAGTTTAAATCTGGAAGTATTCAGGTGCTGCAGCTATTCCTTTCAGTCCGTTCTTGTGAATGGATCCAAACCACTGAAGCCAATGCTAAAGATTCCTATTGGCTTCGATGGGCTTTAGAGCAGGCACGTGATGCACTGAGCCTACTCCCAGCACACAAGCCCACTAATCAGGTGATACTGAGGGGGATCAAGGATTCCTCTACCCTACTTCACTCTCTAAGCAAATGGGAAAGGAAGCCGAACTAGAGCTGATCTGTATAGTTATGGCTCTAGAGTCCCCCCTCCCCCCTGTTGATTGAGTTGCGTGAAATGGATCGCCAGGGAATTCTGTGCAAGTGATGCTGTCTCCACTACTTGGGGCCTCTATTCCTGCCCTTCCCCTCTGAAGCAGTGGAACTGTGCTATTTGTGTTGGCATCTAGGGCCCCTCCATTCTCATGGAGCACGCTAATGTTTGCAACAAAGAGATTACTTCCAGGCCAACTACTAATTTAGGCCATTCCGCTAGACCTGTTTAGCCAGATGGTAAAGGCCTGATGAGCTCACAGACCTTCCTTCTCTGGCTAGTTCTGAGGGTTCTGCTTGCAGGGACATATTGATCAGAATTAACAGCATTCATTATTCAACTTAAATTGCACCTACCAGTGTCTGTACAATAGCATGGTTTGTAGCATTCATGTAGGAGTTCAATGGGAAGGCACATTCTCCTTCACAGTAATATGCAGCATAGCCTTCTGGAGCAATTATCCAGTCCTGGATTAAATTGATGTTAGATCATGGAGAAAAGATGGATTTAATTTCATTGTACATTTATTCAATTAATTCCAAATACATGCAGGCTGTCCAAAATGTCATGAAAAAATGTCTCCTGTTAAATTAGCTGCTCCAACAATATGGTCACTCTTAACATGTCTGCAACACCTGTTTGTCCTGAATGATCCCACAGCACTTTATAAAGTGAATACTGTGTACACAGCAGAATGATCACTTCATGCACTACTGGAATGCAGCTTCCTCCAATGCAAAGTGTAGGAGCTGTTTACCAATATTTAAAGGAAATATACACTAGAAAGTGAAGAACATTGTGTCCTATTGAAACTACAGAAGGCACTTACAATGGCAGAAAGTTAACAGTCTAAATTTAAAATTAGCCACAAAGCTATGGGATTATGAAATTTCCACTACTCTTAACCTGGCCTCTAATTTGCATGTCCCCTTTTGTGCATGTAACTAGTTGTGCCAACACAAAGGCAAACACCTTGTTTGTGTATGCAAATAGCAATGAATCAACAGGCGTGAATGCACCCCCATTCTTGTAAGGACAGACATTTACACACAAGCATGGTCACAAAATCAGAGGTTAAGGCTGTGTCTACACTTGCACTTGATTGACAAAATGTTTGTCATTCACTGGTGTTTTATCCTCCCTCTCTAAGGGAAAGTATTTAAACAGCACCACCACCACACACACACACACACACACACACACACACATGTGAATGACAAAGTTTTGCTGTGGTAAATGCACATCTGAATGCAGTTTTGTTGGCATTAGTGTTCTTCTGCCAAAGTGAAACCCACTTGGAGTTAGAAGTATTTTGTCGGCTCAAAAGGGCTGACAAACAGCGTTCATACACACTGACTTATAGCAAAAGGGCTGTGTCGACACAGCCTTGTTGCTAAGAGTTGCATAGGGTAGACATACCCTAAAAAATGTTGTTCATGAGTGAACACTACCAGCAAAATGGTGGAAAAAGTATCTTGTCTCTCTTAAGCCTAAGCACAGAAATCTTACCTGCCAGCCTAGATCTCTGAAACTGACATACAGTTCGTGTTTCTTGCAGGCTTGCCGCTGATCACTGCTACTGTTCTCTGAATGGAGGGGTGAAAAAAATTGAAACCACCAAGTGAGCTTGTGTTGTCCACCTGGTTGTTTCAGTTCAATTTTCAAATGAAAGCGGGACCCATTAAGACTAATCTTTTAAAGATGAAAGCTCCCTGGTGCTGCATTGCATCTTTGGCAGCATTGCAATGGGGAATGAGGTGTGGCCCCCTTTCTGCAGCAATGTGCTGCTTTACAGCACTTGTCATTTTCTTTTAGCTGTTTCAGTCTTGTTTTTTAATGACAGAATGATTGGCGGGATTCAGCAAATGTATAAAGCCCATGGTTTCCATGCAAAGTCAAGAAAGCCCTGGGAATTTATTTTTCAGGATCTTGTCTGTCTTGCATGGGCTTCAAGTTTGAAAAAAACAAACACCCCAACCAAACAAAAAATATCTATTTTCATCATGCCTTTGCTATGTGGCAAGGGAACCAGTGAGAGACCCAGGAAGGCACTCTCATGTATACAAGGATGATTATGGTATAAGACTCTATAAAGAACAGAATAGTGAAGTGATTTTAAAGAGTGGCACTCTAAAAATCTCTCTAACCTGTGTTTGAGTGGTCTCTGCAGCTGACCTGCAGTAGTCCTGCAAATACAATAGAATCACAGCAGAGGAAGCTGGAATCTATTATCTGGTGCATCACAACTAAGTTCTGACTGTTGACCCATTGGGCAGGATTTCCCTAAGTATCGCTCCTCCAGACTTAGGCAAATAGGTTCCATTTTTAAGTGCCACTGCCATTTTCAAAACTCTTAGCTGCTGCCTAACACTGTAAGGGCATAAGCTCACTTTGGCACCTAATTGTTTCTAGGTGCATGTTTCTGCTTTTGAGCATACATGCTACAGCTCCCTGCTAGGTTTCAGACACCTGTCTCCTTTCAAGCCCCAGAGGGATTCAGAAACCAGGGGAAGATGGGCTTTTTTCCACATAACTGGTATTTGGGCCAAGATCTACATCAAACATCCAGGGAAGGAGAGGCCCTCTCACTGGCGTAGTGGCTGAGCACTTACCTAGACGATGCTCCCTCTCTGCCTAAGGGAAAGTATTTAAACAGGGATCTGCCATCCCACTTCAACCACTGGGCTATAGAGTGAGAATGGCTTTCTCTGTCTAAATTAATATTTAATTAAAGTAGAACAAGTTGGGATGAAAAGTCAAAAATCTCAATTTTGAAAATCTAAAATAAATTCAGACGAGGTCAATTGAAACATTGTTTCTATTTTGATCATGTTTAAATTTTTTTTTACTATAACTTAGCATATTTTTTTTAAATTGTCAAATTTGTGAAAACTGCTATTTTCCAACAAAAACATTTGGTTGCAACAAATGAGCATTTTCTAGTCTTCAAGCTAGTGACAGTTGGATGATGCTGAATATGCAAGAGAAAAGTAGAGCATATTGCTTGAGCACACTAGAGACTGTTTCATTCTTGTCTCTAAACAAAACAGAAGTATCCAGTACCCAGAAATACCGACTTGGCAGCCTTCATCTTACCTGCAATGTTGGACACCCGAAAGGCTTCCTGGTTTTTTGGTGTTTTTGATCGATTTTGGCTCCTTTGTTTGCCTCCTGTGGAACGAATGCTACGTAGATGCACTTCTGTAGCTTTGAAGAATGCTACCGTGAAAGGCTGCTTATTTTGTGGGCCATGTCTTCCAATAAGACCAGCCAGTTTGGGATTGATGCTTTGTCCTTAATGGAAATATCATACCATAATCAAATAAGAGAAATTGAAAGAACTTTCCATTGCTATCAGCAATATTGAAGACAACATGATTGAGACAACTGGCCTATATATCCCACATCTAAAATTCCTATTAAGGTCCATATGCATGGATCAACTGATGGAGTAGGCCTAAAATTAATAAGCAAAGCCACTTCTGAAAGGAATATCTCAGTAAAGCTAAATTCCTTTTTATATGTGAATGTAAATGTTAAATAAAATACTCCTACAAACAATAATTTTACCAAAAATCAACTTTGCATTAGATTTTTCCTGCATTCTTTAGTGGGGTTTCCTTAAGTTCACCGACCTATAATTTGAAGTGATCCCATAAAAAGAATAATAAAACTCAGCCCATAGGAACCCTAAATTCCCATTGGAAGGCTGTTAACATAAAATAAAAATGCCTTGTATTAAATGTTGACATGGCTCCAGATATATTGCATTTGAAAGTAACAAGTAGTTCAGTTATTTAGAGGCATTTTGTTAACTGCTACATCTGTCATGCACAGCAGCAGTACTGAATCCGATAATATGGTTATAGATACATCATGACTATTGCTCATTCCTTTTCTTATGCAGGATTTTTAAATTAACTTTATTTTTGGTCAAAGATGCCTGGTGTGTAGGCCTGGGAACTGAAGTAAATTATTTACAAAGATAAGGTATGGATAGAGGCAGTATGAATTTTATCCTGTACTCGCACTCCCCCCACCCCAATGTGTCTCAATTGCGTTGTGAAGGGATCACCTTGGTCTCCATATCCAACCAACTTTAGGACTTTGACAGTGATGACAATAGTGTTAATTCATACCACTTTTGATAAATGTATTTTCTGTTGTTTGTTAGGAACTGAACTGGAACTTGCCACCACACTTCAAGCATGTCAGAACAGCTGGTACTAGTCCGAGACCAGTCTACAATATTCCTGTCAACATAGCTGTTGGTTCTTGGGGAGGGAGTTGTAACACCAAAAGGGAAGCTCTCTGATTGCTATAGGTAGCATGCATCTTCAGTAACTAATGCAGTGGCACAGCTGCACCAACACAACTTCACTGAAGCAGTGTCAGTATAGACAAGCTCTCAGTCACAAGTTGAACCACACTGGCACTGTAGAAGTAAAAGGATCTGTATTTCCATTAGAATTCCACTGAGCCCTTTGTTCCTCCAGTTCTTACTGGTTTCTAAGTGCAATATGAAAAAAATGGCAACAAAAGAACTTGGTTTCCTAAGGTGAACTTCCATAACTGCTGTTTTCAAGGCCAACACCAGTGTCTTAAGAACCACTGTCTCGATTAGCTCTTTTCCATCTCAACATTTTTATGTACTCCAAAAGCTGGTAAACATAAAGAGCACATTTTCACAGCAGGGTTAAATTTGAAATAAGTTACTCAATTTGAGCTACGCTAATTGTATAGTTTAAGTCAAAATAATTTATTTAGACTCTGGGTGCTGTCTACACAGCAGTTATTTTGAAAGAGAGCACTCTTCTTCTAACTTCCCTTACTCCTCATACAATGAGGGTTACAGGAGTCAGAGTAAGAAGTCTTCCAGCTCAACATTATTTTGACAATGTCAAACTAACTGCTTGTGTGTATTCCGAAATAACGCTGCTGTGTAGACATAGATGAAGGGATGAAAACAATTGCCTGTGATCACAGCTCAAGGCTGGGGTTGCCAGATGGTTTCAACAAAAATACCAGGCTCACTTGACATTACATCACAATCTACATTATATCTTATTTAGAAAATTTATATTTTCCCATTTATATTTTCTCAATTTGTTTCCTGAACAGAAAGCTCAAATACTGGACTGTCCAGTTCAAAACCGGACACCTGGCAACCCTACTCAAGACTAACCCTCAATTTATAACTGCTTCTCTCTGGCTGTGTCCAGACTCAGGGGTTTTTTCGAAAAAAGTACCCTTTTTTTGAAAAAACTTCCCCTGCGTCCAGACTCAAGCCGCGTTCTTTCAAAATTAATTCGAAAGAACGCAGCTTTTCTTTCGATGGCGGTAAACCTCAATTTACGAGGAAGAACGCCTTCTTTCGAAAATTCCTCTTTCGAAAGAAGGCGTTCTTCAATGTAAATAGGGCTTCTTCGAAAGAGAGCATCCAGACTCACTGGATGCTTTCTTTTGAAAAAGCAAGCCGCTTTTTCAAAATTTCTCCGTGCAGTCTAGACGCTCTCTTTCGAAAAAGGCTCTTTCGAAAGAAGCCTGCAGTCTAGACATAGCCTCTCTTATGTTGTGAATTTTTAAAGACAAATTAAAAGGACAAATTCTTTCCCTGTGGAAAGCTGGTGTACAGGAGAGTTGCACAGAGGCTCATAGTGTTGTAATATGAGCATGACAGTTTGGCAATTAAGCCTACATCTCCTGGCTACAACCCCTTACGGTTTCCTATGTGGGGAGGAGGTAGGGCGAGAACTGTAATGTCTACACTTGCACCCTCTTTCGAGAGAGGGATGCAAATGAAGACATTCGAAATTGCAAATGAAACCGGGATTTAAATATCCCACACTTCATTTGCATATTTGCATTCTGGCGCTATTTTGAAATAGCGCTATTTCAAAATAACAGATGCTGTTAAGACACAGTTATTTCGAGAGGAAACCCTTCTCTCGAAATAACCCTTATTCCTCATACAATGAGGTTTACCAGTTAGTTCAAGAGAAGGGTTTTTTCTCAAAATAACCGCATCTTAACAGCGTCTGTTATTTCAAAATAGTGCCAGAACGCGAATATGCAAATGAAGCACGGGATATTTAAATCCCGGCTTCATTTGCCATTTCAAATGTCTTCATTTGCATCCCTCTCTCAAAAAAGGGTGCAAGTGTAGACATACCCGTAGATACACAGAATAGGATCAAGAAAAACGTATATCTAAGGATAGGACACTGAGTCAGGCTTTTTATGAATGAGGCCTAAGTTGTATATTGTACCAGAGAAATCAGCTGATTCATACAATTACCTGTTTACATATGCAAAGGTGGGCTTGGGGCAGGATTTTGGTGAGTATGAATACCTCCATCTGACTATCACTTTTATCCTCTGTTAGGCCCTGTTCTTTGTAACTTGACCGCACTGTCATCTTTTACACAGCTAGGTTGATCCCACAGGACAGTTAAATATGTTTGTAACTCTAAGTATGAGGATAGTCCTACTAAATTGCATGGCACTACTCATGGACTTAAAAGCTACACATATGCTTTTCTGCATCAGGGCCTTATTCCATGTTAAATTTTGCCAAAATTAAGTAAAAAAATTCATCTAGCACTGCTTTGATTCTTTCCCCCTGTCATCAGCATGGATGTTTTTCTGACTGCAGTGCCATTTAAAAAGAGACCTGGTTTTAAGGGGGTAAATTATTGCTAGTTGCATCATCTCACTAACAAGAGCCTCAGCAGGTTGCTGCTAGTGACTCCAGATCTACTCCAGCTTGATTTGATGGGTTTACATGAGGGTACGAAAGAGCAGAATTTGGCCAATGTATCAATTTGGGAGAGGGCTGAGTTTTTGGGTGACTAAAAGAAAAAATTACTTTGCTGTAGCAAATCTTTCTCTCTTTTTAAAAGAATACAACTTTTTGGCTTTAAATCTTCTGAGTAAGACCCATACCAGAGAGCTATCATGTTCCTCCTTAATTACATTGTGAAAAAAACACTTAAGTGACCAGAACTAAATAATTCAATCTCCACGTACAGCCAGAGACCAAATTTCAAGGAAAATGTGGTTTTAAGATATCGGTCTATTTCTAATTAATCAATTATGTATTTATCTAACAGAACAGCTATATTCTCAAATCAGAGAATGCAGACAATTTGTCTTTAAAAAGCTGCTTTTTTAACTGAGAAAAACAGGATATGAAGCAATAAGAAATAGGCTAAGTAAAGTTAAATAGTCAGCTGTTGTTCTTATGTATTATGAGGGCGTGAAGTGATTCAGGGCTTAGGGTGACAGGATGCCTAAGGCTAATGAATCACATTTCTCTGTTGTTTGAGCTTATCCCAACTTTCTAAGCGTAAACAAACATCCTTTAATTCCCCACTAGTTGCTATTGTTGATGCACTTATCTGGCATGATTGTAAAGGAATATGAAGAGCAGTTAAATGAACCAATCTGTTTTGAATCATTGTATCTGAACAGTATTTTGACTCCATTTTCTTCTATCCTAGTTGCCTTTTTACTCATGTATAGAGACTCTCTAACAATTACTGGTATTAATTTTTTAAAAAAAAGTAAAATTTGACACAAAATGCAGGACAATGTAGCACTTTAAAGACTAACAAGATGGTTTATTAGATGATGAGCTTTCATGGGCCAGACCCACTTCCTCAGATCAAATTTGATAGGTTTTCAGTTTTCCTACATACTTTAAATTCAGGCCAAAGTTTTGAAAAAGCTGAAAGATTTGTTATATTCAAAAATATATAGCTTTTCACCAAAATCATGCTATGGTTGCAAGCCTACAGTTCTGACATGAAAACCAGCTGAAGAAACTGCAGCTTTGTTGGGACTGTGCAGTTTGTTTGAACCCCAAATGAAACTTGGAAATGGCAGAAGGACTTAACCTTGCAGCTCAAAGTGGAAGGAAATGTTTGCTTGAATTCTGGAGAAGTGAGCCTGCAAATATTTGTGGCTCTTACAGGTTTAATTTTAAAATGCAAGCAGCCAAATTCAGTCCTACAGGTACTTTTTCAGGGATGAATTTGCTCTTTAACTTTAAAGGCAAATTAGTGACATATTTTGTCAATCTATTTTGATTAAGCACAGAATTATTTTCCAGTGTGTGTCAAGGGTGCCATTTTGGGAGAGCGGGAGGGAGGGACCAGCAGCCAGGCATATCAGGTCACTGTTTGCTTTTCTTTCTGTTCCCCTGACTATCAAAGCACAAGGAGAAAGCACACAAATTTTGTTAATTACTCCTCTGCCTCACCAGTCAGGAGTGAGAGGCATGAACAGAAGCCATGTACTTTCCCCTCACTCCCTAATAGTCAGGGGAACAGAAAGAAAAGCAAGGCGCTTCCCTCCCATCCCCCGCTTTCCTGAAATGGCACCCTTGAAAGGCATGTGTGTGTCTTTCTTTCTTTCTTTTTCTTTCTTTCTTTCTTTCTTTCTTTCTTTCTTTCTAAAACAACCTTCTTTCCCCCTAGGGTTGCCAGATGCTTTCAACAAAAATACCAGACACACTTGACATTACATAACAATCTACATTACATCTTATTTAGAAAATACCTGACATTTATATTTTCTCATTTATATTTTCTCAATTTGTTTCCCGAACAGAAAGCTCAAATACTGGACTGTCCGGTTCAAAAACAAACACCTGGCAACCCTATTTCCCCTAAGCCTATTTGTAAACTATGGGGAGATTTTTAATGGCACAGCTGGTATTTAGATGTTTAACTCCCACTGAAAGTCAATGGGAGTTAGGCCCCTAAATTGTCATTCTAGGCCTTTGAAAATCTTTCCCCAATCTTTTTGTCTGAGACAGGCCTATATAAGGGCCCACTTCTAACAGTCTACCTGCCTGATTTGTCTGAGTAATTACTCTAACTGCATGCACAGTTGTAGCACTTTTTTCCATCCACAATTCTGAAAATCTGGGCAAGATGTCCAAGTCCTCTGTTCCCTTACTGCAACTGCTATGATCCTATTTACCGTTTATTCCATACGCCTAAGAGCATAACATCTGTTTATAAAATGCTATGCACCTTTCTAGTGTTTAAATTATTTATGTTAATAACTTATTGCCTCAGTTATACTATATTCAGACTTGTAGCCCACTTAAGTTGTGACTGTGTAAGTCCTATTGCTCCCTTGTATGCTCCCTCTGCCAAGGTTTTTTACTACTTCCTATAGCCCTGATTTACTCCACATGGAATACACACAGAGCCCAGAAAATATTTCTAGACTGCAACTGTTAAACACTAAAACCTAGCAACAGAATCAGAAGATAGAGACAAAGTGATGCATTCTGCCCCCCAAGATACATGACTTGTAGGCATTCATGGTAACTTAAGCAATCTTTTACATTTCTGGTTGGATTAATTCTCCCTGTTCATAAAGAGCTAAGTCTCTGAGATTTAAGTGGTCTAGGAAAGGTGATTGAGAAGGAGGCCACAGTCAATTGAAATGAACATAGGAAGAAAGACTGCTTTACTGGATCAGATCCAACATCAGGCCAGTATTGTATCTCTGCTACTCACGCCCCGTTCCTAACTCTCCTGGGCTTGCATCACAAGTTGGCTGAAGAACTTGGAGTACATAGTATGTCAGGCCATGCCTCATGTTTCACTGTTAAAAATTATTTGGACCGTTTACGTGAAAACAATTCCTTCTCATCACTAGACCTGCAAATCTAGAGCTGTGTTGGGAGTGGGGAGAGGAGGGAAGGCATAAATTAGCCAGTACAGAGCAAAGAAAAAAGGCTTGGTTAGGGAGAAACAACACAGAAGACCAGGGAGGAAGCTGTGTGCAGAATAACTCTTTCCTTGATACACTTGAGTGCATTGTACAGTCACCATGACCAGCATTTCAGATGCTCCAGTTTGGAACTAATGCAGCTGAAGAGAAAGGAAGAAAATAATTTGCTAAATGAAAGAGGACAATGGTGTCTGTGGGTGGGAGGGAAGGAGGTCATGCTTTAATGATTTCTAGCTAGTGTTAAAGCAAAATCATGGACTAGATCCATCAGCTCAGACCTTAGGGTTTTTTCCACTTTCTAATGTAATATAACTGGATAAATTCAACTGTTAAAATTATTCTCACATTTCCTTCCCCACCCACAAACACCCACTGGAAAACTAAATAGCAAAAAAAAAACAGTTTTAAACAGTGAAGCACTACTCAGGAATATTTATAAGTGCAGTTGTGCCAAAGAATGGCAATTTAGCTTCCAGGACTTCAAATACAAATAAAGTAAACACATGTATAAATTAGTGATTTACATGGTTGCACATACAATCATGATAAATGTGTGTGCAAATTAGGGCTCAGATCCATTAATGCACATTCTTAGCTTTAAGCATCTTAACAGTTTCTTTTGAGATATTTAAAACTAAGCATGTTCTTACCTTTTTACTGGATTCTGATACAGATGTTTGTCTTGAAATCAGGTGGTGATTATTTAGTTAAGTTCACATATAGCATGATGAGTAATATAATTTTACAACATTTTTCCAATATCTGTATCTTAAGAAAATTCAAGACAATCTTGAGAAATTCCACTTAAATGAATGAATTGGTTGCATTCAGACTGGATTCCTACAGCCAAAATGGAGACTCTTCTGATGACATTACTCTTGAAACTTACCATCTATACTCTCAACGGATAGTTGCAGGCCAAGATTGTGTTGTGGATTTACCACCCAGTGGTTACTAGTTGCTGTAATATCAAACACTAGCCAACCTTCCTCTGCTGCCCAGATTATTCGAGTGTCAAGCAGGAACAGATCTGAATCCCTGAAGAAAAATAAACACATCTCAGTTACCTGGATTTTCAAACAGAAATTATCTGCAATAAATAACCATTCAAGTTAATGCTTTAAGCAACACAACTGGTATTTCTTATCACAATACACAAGTTATGCCACAGGTGGGAAAACTATGCCAACCTAAATGGTTTTTTTTCTGAACAATGGGAGAGCAGATTAAAGTAGAATTAATGTGGTTTAGGGGTACACATTGCTGTACTATTATAGCTAATCCTGCTAATGCAATTAAAAAAATGTCCAGGCACATATGTGCACATTAAACTTAGTAGACGGGCATACAAATATCCTTTTCCATGCATAATAATCTGATTGTTGTGCATAAACATGGTAATAGTGCAATCAAATTAGAGCATGGTTGTATGCCTTTTGCAAATACTAACATATCGAATATCTTTAAAAATCTGCTCTGTTCAGGCTACATACAGTTGAATAAGGATCATGAGGCAGTATTGCCTTGTGTGGCAATGTCCCCTGAATCTGTTGTTTAAAAACTAAATAAATAGACACACTCCAATTATTTTGGACTAAAATTGAGAATGAGAAATCAAAACTAATCAGAATTGGAGAATACTTGAAGGACTCAGGCAGGGCTTTGGTAATCATTGTGGGTCTTCAATAATTTGCCACTGATTAGCTGCAATTGAAAATCGAGTAATACACAAGGATTATGAAGGTTCTAAAAAGGAATGGAGCTCTTTCATCAGGAGCCAACGTAAAGAAGTAATTTGGATGTTGATGGTAAGAAGTAAAGTGGGTAATGGTTGAACTACCTCCAAAAGGAAAAAGTTTTTACAAGAAGGATGGAGACAGCAAGTAGTGTCTGGACAAGCCCTGTAGGAGATTCTTTTATATTTGGTCATGTGCAGATGTGACAACATGTACGAGAGTAACTGTAGCTTTCTGAGTTTCAAAAAAAATTTTTTTTGCAAAGGGATAAGAAAGTTATTTTATTGTGTCTCATAAGCCCGAGCAAGGCCAGCTTAATCTGTTTTATAGACTTCTCAGTACAAACTTTAATGTCTTTAGTTCCTTCAGGGCCCCTTGTTTGCCTGCAACATTGTGTGAAACAAAAAATCTAAAATGAGAAGATTTATATGGCCCCCAAAGCCTCAAAAAAGTATATGAATTTCACCACCCTCTGGTAGGGAAGTAAAGTTATCCTTCACATTTTACAAATTGGAAACACACACAAAAAAGGGCAATGATTTGCCCCAGATAAGAATCTAACAAAGCACAAAATGAATATCATTCATCTGAGTTCCATTCCAGTATCTTGACCATTCTGCTCTCCTTCCAACCTAAATAGGTCAAGCTATACAATATGTAATGGCTTTAATCTAAGACACTGGTATGAATAACAGAAGTGTCAGTAGTGACAACCTGATAGCTGTTTATGAAATTAAATATCCAAGTCCAGTCCCTGAAAGACTAGTGACCACCCCAGCAAATGCCAATGGAAGTGCAAGTTCATATTTTCCCCACAAATGCACAACACTCTTAACCAGTGCATGTGTTAACATGGAATATTTGCAAATGTTGCTAATAATACATGATATGCAGTGAGGGAGATCTTATCAGTAGGTGGCAGAAGGAAATTCCTTGTCTGTTGCTCTCAGTGGTAGTGTGCTACTTATACGTCTTATGCTATGTCTATACGGGGGGAGAAACTCAACTTAAAATATGCAACTTCAGCTACGAGAATAACGTAGCTGGGGTCGATGTACCTAATGTAGAATTTCTGTGGCATCATGACTGTGGGAAGCCAACAATACAAACTCTTGCATCAACTTCCCTTATACCTCTCAACCTGGCTGACGGGTGTCATCAGTGGTTAATTTAGCAGGTCCTTACTAAGGATATTAAGGTCTAGTTGACTATCCAATAAGCAAATGCTTATCGGATAAGTCAGTTGACTAGTCCATTTCCCCCCTTCCTGCCTCCATCAGCTGATCCTGGGCTCCACGGCACTGCCCCATTGCAATGCCGAGGCAGTGTTTCAAAGGGATAGCCAACGTGTTTCTAAGGGGCAGCGCTGTGGAGCCCTGGGTCAGTGGGTCTTCCTGCTGGACCTGGGCTGCATGCGGAGTTCCTCATTCCTCCTTCCCCAGCAGGGGCTCTTGTACATTTCAAAGGAGGAATGTGGAAGTGCGTATCAACTAGTTGAGTAGTCGATGGAAATTCCATAGACTACTCAACTAGTCAATTAACCGCAATTTAACATCCTTTGTCCTTAATAGACCCACTAAATCCAACCCTGGGAGATTGATCTCCAGAGCGTCGATCTCAGCGTAAGTGAAGACGAGCCCTCAGGGTGCTCTTCAGATGAGTCCCATAACTTGGAGTTTCAATGCTGTTGAAGGTTCAGAAGATGTCACTTAAACCTTTTATTCTTTTAAACAATGTTTTAGCTCATGGAAAAAAACAGGATTTAGGCTCTGTCCATACATCACTGTGCTACAATCCTGTTTCTTGCCTGTATAGAGAGGATCATAGTATGGACATAACAAAACCAGCCATACTGGGTCAGACTACAGATCCATCTAGACCTGTATCCTGTCTTCAGACCGTGCCTGATGCCAGGTGTCCCAGAGGGAATGAACAGAACAGGTCATCATCAAGTGATCCCTCCTCTGTCACCAATTCCCAGTTTCTGAGAAATAGAGGCTAGAAACATAATTCCTACCCATCCTACCTATTGTCCATAAAATTATCTATTTCTTTTTTAACCTGTTAAAGTTCTGGACCTCACAATATTCTCTGGCAAGGAATTCCACAGGTTGACTGTGTTGTGGGAAGAAATACTTCCTTTTGTTTGTTTTAAACCTGCTACCTATTAATTTCATTTGGTGACGCCTGGTTCTTGTCATAGGAACAAGTAAATAATTTTTCCTTGTTTACTTTCTTTACACCAGTCATGATTTTATACATCTCCATCGTATTTCCCCATAATCTCCTCTTTTCTAAAATGAAAAGTCCCAGTCTTTTTAATCTCTCTTCATATGGTACCCGTTCCAAACCCCTAATCATTTAGTTGCTCATTTCTGAGCCTTTTCCAATGCCAAGATACCTTTTTTGAGATGAGGCGACCACATCTGCACACAGTATTCAAGATGTGGGTGTACCATGGTTTATAAAGAGGCAATAAGATATTTTCCATCTTACACTTCTAACGATTCCTAACATTTTGTTTGCTTTTTTTTGACTGCTGCAGCATATTGAATGAATGTTTTCAGGGAACTCTCTACTGTGACTCCAAGATTTCTCAAGTGGTAATCACTAATTTAGTCCCCATTATTTTATACATCTAGTTGGAATTATGTTTTCCAATATACATTACTTTTCATTTTTCAAACATTAAAATTCATTTGCCATTTTGTTGTCCAGTCACCTAGGCTTGTAAGAATCAATGTGAGACAGTCCTAGAGCTGTTGACAAAGTTAAATAAAAATACATCCCCCAGATGACAGAGGTGAGAACACTGCACTTTTGTTCATTTTTTGTGTCCCAAACCAACATCTGATGTGAAGATTCTAGAGGTGCAAGACTTGCAGGCCCGTACACAGGAATTTCTGTGGAGGAGTGTGAGCCATGGGAGGGGCTTGTGGATACACTCCTGGGAGAGGAGAGGGAAAATCTGCTCCTGCCTCCCCTCGGCCTGTCAGAGCATGGGGGAAGGGAGGCTGGAGCAATGTGCCGTCCCAGCCTCATGCTTACTTGGAGGAGGATGGAGGGGTGCATTTGAACCCTTCGCATCACCCCTGCATATGGGCCTGAATTGTATGTTAATACACTGCTGGATTTAACTATACCCCATGCCTCCAGCCCATGATTCACAAATGATTTACTTAACAGAGATGTAGCCTGCTCCATTTTTCTTTATTGTGGACTGCAGTTTGAAGATAACAGCGAGAATAATTTACTGTCGTCCTGTAATATTATTACTTTAAAAAAGCTGCTTTTAAGCTTCCCGTGCCGATGTGATGCAAGCAGGCTAACCAGACAACATGACGCATCAAGTGCAGGGATGAGTCAGTCTGGGAAATTGTATAAAGTATTTGTTTGCCTGTATTTACAGCAGTGTGCAAACAATAGGCCTGGAGGGGAAATCCTCACTGAAGAGAGATCAAAGGGACATGCTGAAGGGAACCATCCTTCCCACACACAGCTGGAACTTAGAGACCCAAAAAGGGCTTATGTCAAATATTCTCTGGAGAGATTCACAGCGTTAATGGATTAGTGCTGTTCATTTGAATCTGCAACCAATGGTGAAAAATGGGATGCACCACAGGCTCAGAGTGCAGAGCTTGTTCCAATTAAAAGAAACTGCTTGTTCTTTTTAAAAGAACTGCCCTTTAAAAAAAATGGCCTGCTTACCAAAGAGACACAGCAAACTAAAATCAGAGCAGCAAGTAGCAGATGGCAAGGCACATTCTTTAAACACAATTGCTAAACAAGTTATATTAAAAGACAGAAACAGTTTCACAGCAAGCATTCACCGTTTGCATTCTGAGACACCAATTCTGCGGGCTTCCCAAACTTGTCCTTTTTATAATTCTTTCCTTTTGGGAGGTGGAGAGCTCTTTTTGTATACTCCAATATGAAGTGTTATCACATGATTTAGAACCAGTTCAATGTAACCTCAGTCTGCAGCTCATGTGTTAAGAGCTACACAGAGGCAACCATTGGCCATCTAGACTGGCAAGTTTTTCTGCAAAAGCAGTAGCTTTTGCGCAAAAACTTGCCAGCTGTCTACACTGGCCGCTTGATTTTGTGCAAAAGCACTGACATTCTACTGTCTGAAATCAGTGCTTCTTGTGCAAATGCTTTGTCAGTCCCATTCGGGCAAAAGCCCTTTTCCGGAAATGTTTTTGTGCAAGAGGGCCGGTGTAGACAGCTAAAAACTGTTTTGCGCAAAACTGCTCTGATGGCGAAAATGGTGATTGGGGCTTTCTTGCGCAAAACAGCGTC